TTGGTTTCCGGGAGGCCCGATCCACTGTCAATGCAATTAGGCGTGTCAGGGGCCTCTCGGAGTCCATGGTGGCAGACGGGGAGGTGGTAGTTGCAGTGGCGTTGGACATTTCCAACGCCTTCAACTCCCTCCCCTGGGGCCGGATCAGGGAGACGCTGAACTACTTCCAGCTGCCCCCCTATCTGGTCGCCATCGTGGAGGACTACCTCCGGGACAGGAGGCTGGAGTTCGTCGACAGAGACGGACTTCAGCGCGGAAGGGCATTGTCGTGCGGGGTTCCGCAGGGGTCCATGCAAGGGCCCCGTCTATGGAATCTTGCTTACGACGCAGTTCTGCGGGCGGCCGTTCCTCCCGGCGCACGGGTTAGGTTGTCTGCTACGCAGACGACACGCTTGTGCTCGCCGGTGAGGATGGCTGGGGGAGCGCGGTCGCCGGGGTGAACCGTGGCGTGCGTAGTCCGCGCTATCGAGGCAATGGGGCTGCGCGTGGCGCCCCAAAAAACCGAGGCTCTGTTTTTCCACAACGGGTCTCGGGGAGCGCCGCCGCAGTTTTCTATCAGGGTAAGTCATACGATGATCCCGGTGGAGCCGACGATAAAATATCTAGGCCTCATCCTGGACAGTTCGGTAGACATTTTGAGCTGCTGGCCCCCAAGGTGGGCAGGAGAGCGGACGCATTAGCCCGCCTCCTGCCCAACCTACGTGGTCCGAAGGCCAGTGTACGAAAAATGTACATGGCCACTGTCCTCTCCGGGCTAATGTACGGCGCCCCCATATGGGCGGACGAGGCTGGGGCCAATAAAAAGATCCGCCGTCTCTTATATGGAGTCCAGCGGAGGATAGTCCTACGACTGACCCAGGGGTATAGGACAGTGTCCCACGCGGCGGCGACGGCCCTCGCCGGCACTCCACCGGCGGACCTAATAGCCGGAGCCTTTGCCGAGGTATATCCTCTGGGCTCTGGCGGCCCGCCTGGAGGGTCGGCAACTAACGAGGAGGGTTGTCGACCTGGTTCGCAAACGGGCGCGCAATGATGCGTTTGCGGCGTGGAGCGAGCCGGGCGTCGCTGGGACTCGGACCGTCGAGGCTGTCCAGCCCATCCTCAAAGAGTGGGCTGACAGGGGATGGGAGGGTTTGACCTACCGCCTCACGCAGGTGCTCACCGGGCACGGATGCTTCGGTGAGTACCTGCATAGGATAGAAAAAGAGCGCACCCCGCGGTGCCACCACTGTGCAGTAGGGACTCTGCGCAACACACCCTGGAGGAGTGTCCTGCATGGGACTATTAAATAATTATTCACAGGATATAATCAGTACGAGAGCTTTATTGAGACTCACATATATAATAGTAAGGAAGCGTTAATGCAGTGAAAGAATAGGAAAAAATAAAATGTTGCCAACTTAACCAAATCTGATTCTAACGCCATCTGAATATAAAAATAACTGAAATAACTCTATAACTATACATTTGAATTGAAGATCGGAAGAGC